TATGTTTTTAACGAATATCCCACTGGAAGCATGTTGATGTAATTTGATACTTTCCCCACACCCCCTCAGGCGCTAAATTTTTGATGAGGCACGTGACCAGCCGCAGCCAGGGTCTTTCCCAATGAAAGATCCTGGGTACGAGGTTGTTAGAAAAACCTGGTTTTGGGTGATGAGCATAGTCAAATTCTTGACTTATTTAATTTTCTATGTTTTTCCAGGTAAACAGATTAAACATTGAAATAAGCCGCATTCGACTTAGACCAGACTTTTTTCAATTTTCTGTGATTTACATAACACTAGTTATAATTTAGGGGTCAACCAGTATTGTTCAAGACATATTTTCCTTCCAGAACACCTTTTCAAAATACTAACCAAAACATGTCAAAAATAGTGTATATTTACAAGGGCAATTTCAACCCTTTGGCACATTTTTCCCATGAATGATTTTAATTCTAATCAAAAGACTATAGATAAAACTTTGATTTAAAGCTAGTTTCAAGTGATGAGCATACCCTAATTTTTAAGCTATACCTCAAAGAAGATGGGTCATTTCAACATAAACATTAAATATGGGTATATCGACATCTCTGTCACACGTGTCGTTTGGCATTAGCAGACCTTCTGAAACATTTTGATGAAAGTATAATCCACAAAGTTCACATTTTCATTTACTTCTTAACATCTGCTTTAATCCAACTAGCTCCATAGGTACGAGCAAAATTTAGTGTTGATGTAAATATCCATTTAGTTCATGTTTCCCCTGTGAAAATATAGTCTATTCCAAAGCTAATTTCGACGTACTTTAGCTTTTCAGAAACCGTTGGCCTTCCACAGTAAGATTATAAACTGTTTCACAAACATATTTGATAGCAAACAGCTAAAATATTCTCCGAAAGTCTATATTTGTGCTCTTCGAAGCGAAAATGGCAACTCAAGAAGAAATGAGCCGCTATTTTTGGTCAGCGTCGACAAATTGCCCACCTGTTGCTCAGTGGGTCTTTCCTTCGCCTCGCGCCGTTCTAAGAAAGACCCTGGGAACGAGGTTGGAAGCTGGATCGTATTTCACTTGGAAGGAAAACACTCCACACGCGCCTGGCTTGCGAAGTTTAGCACGAATCGCCGTAGAAACGTACATATCTTCTACACAGACTGATCGATCAAACGGTATTAAACGAACGATATGGTTCTTTATAGTTGGAGTGTATCCTGTCCGATATTCAAAACAAAAGATTTATTTTATAACGGGATCCTTTGATTTCCC